CCGATTGAACGATTGGCTTCAGTGAGGACATGCCTTAACCTAACATAAATGCGGCATATATGCATCAGTGATTTATCAAAAGCCTCTATCATTCAACATTCATTGCGCGAAACGTGATTTGCGCATATATAAGTAATCTGATATAATAAAATCTAAAGTGTGTCGTGTAAAGTACGGACAGTTATTGTATTCTGAAAATTAGTACCGAAATTGCGAGATTATAATTAATCGTGATTGTTTTTATCAGTATTGCGAGTGTGATGAATCTGACAACCATGAGGAAAACCTTGATATCCTAAAAGGAAGGAGGAGGAGGCCTAGGAGAGACATCGGGTGCCAGCGGAACATTCTCGGGGTGAGTAGAATCTATCATTAATTTTAATAATAATCTTTCGAAATATTAACTATTTTGGGCGTTGTTATAATTTTTCGATATGTTTTTCAGTTCATTGTAATCGATATTACAATTCTGCTGCTGCACATCGTATCGGTGAGTGTAAATTATCTTTTATTTTGAGATAACAGATCTGTATTTATTCGAAAATATCAGATATAATGTATATCAAATGTACGTATTAAATTAAAGAAAAATAAATATATGCATATTGAATTAAACAAGTTAGGACTAGTTTGGAATATTTAATTTTGGAATTTGTATAACTTGTCTTTTTTTTTGAGTGACGATAGAACGCTATAAAATAATCGATTACTCATTATTAATTACTCATTATTTATTTTCGCCATAATCCGATTGATATACAACATTTTAAGAGCATATTTTGAAGATTAATTAAATATCTTAGTGTTACATTAGTATATTTGATTAATTTCTTCTTTATTAAAAAAAATATTAATACAAAAATAACTGTTAAAATATTGTATTTAGGGGACATATTTTGTATAATAAATCTCGAGAAATTTTATATTGATAACTACAACTGAAACTTTAACTAAGTGAAAATAGAGAATTTACCAAGTCGAAAATTACGTATTCCGTCTGATCATTTTCAGCCTTAACTACTAAACTTTGCCATTTCAAGCTGAACGTATATTTACTTAAGTAAACTAATGCAAATACTAACAAATCTTGATTAAATTTTCTCTAACAATACATTTAAACAGAAATATTAAACGACATATCTACAGTGACGTATTATGAATAACGATATATATAATTCCGAGAGAAATAACAGTTATGTTTGAATCAGTATCGATTTTCGATAGGGATACGAACAAACTTATTATTAGTTCAGTATCGTAGTTTGCATAAGACAAATAAACGTAGGGATTGCGCGTTTATAACATCAAAATCAGATTTTTTTCTAAAATTCTATTGATCTTATTTCCAAACAATAATATGATGGGGCGAAAGGTATTTTTTCAAGAAGATTTAAAATTTTTCGCACTGAAATATCCGAAATAAAGTTTATATTGAAAAAAAATTGCATATTCGACGTTTGGAGCTGCGATGAAGCGCGTAAGAAAATATAAAAAGCATTATGAAGTTTTAATTAGTGATGTATATTGACAAAGTTGGATGAGCCGATATCAATTATACATTTGCTATTTCGTTTTACAAAGATTGAATCCTCAATCGCGTACATGTGTTAACATTTTACGCTGCACGTACAAACATGAATACGTATGTACATTCATGCGATGGACAACCATTTGCTCGTCTGCTTTTCGTATTGTTTCGGAGAGAGCGGTATTTCACCGCGAGTTATATTTAGTTAAAATTGTTAAGCAAAATTAAGTAAATTTAAATTTACTATTTGTCTTTTCTATCGCAACCTTGGGCGGCTGTTTATATATATCTTTTTTCTCCTAATATATAATTTATATGAGGAAATATATACATTTGTCTGCCACAACGGTAAAGGTGTTCCTTATTTCTAGACAAACTTTTCGTTTACTTTGATGCACCTTCCTCTACTTTTAACGTGAGTTTTAAACGATGTGCATACTAGAAAAGACTTGAATTATCTCACGACGGTTTGCATGTAGAAAACGCGGAGTGAAATTTTACTTTTAATAACTAGCGTCATGCGCGCATGGTTTGTCCGCTAAAAGGCATGCTATTATTACAACGCTTCTTTGTGGCCACGTGCATAAAGCGTTCTTATTACTATCTATCCATGGTGTACAAATATGCGAGTTTGTTTGTGGACGGGATATGCTGCAGGGATATGATGCACTGTATAAAAAATAGTACACGCATACGAATATATGCATCCATAAAAAAAAAATGATTAACCGTGTGCGTACGCCGAACGGTAAACAACTATTGCACAGAGTGTTTTTGGCAAACCGCAAAGTGTATTCGATTTTTGTTCTACTCGTGTAGAACTACATAGGACGCGGTGGAAAAAAGGGAGAAAGAGAAATAGGAAATAGAAGTATAGCGCATATAATCCGCGCATGAAAGCTCGCGAATAGCATTGTTGAAGGCGCATTGTTGTTATCCATGTGCATATCTCGTACTTCGAATGAATTACTGAATCGTAAACTACAAGACGCTGTAGAATAAATTAAACAGGATAATTACGCTGGCTGAACATTAACGCCGTGGCAGTATTGCGAATATCGGGGGGTATTATATCATCCAAACGTTTAATTAAGCTGCTTAGGTGCTATTCAGTATTCTGGAAATACAAAATGTTATTTAACATGAAAAGTCCTTAAAATATACAGGGAATCCAGACTTGTTAACTTTCTTATTAATCGCGAAATATAATGGTATCAACATAGCGTTTTTTGGTTCGAAATTAGAATGCTATCGTAACCATTAACCATTTTCCCCGCTTTATTTAACTTTTTCTGTATTTGCACGCAATATTATAACAATGAAAAAAATGTTCTGTATTCATTTCATCAATTACATTTCCAAATTCGTTTTATTTTCCATGTCTCTTTATAATTGCGCTATTTTTTTGGATATATATTAATTGTTTCGTGGAAACCATACTAATTGTAAGTAATTTAAATTTTTTATTATTGGATATTGTTTTGTGCACTTAACGCGCTCTGAGTTTTTTATATTTTTTTAAAAATCAATAGTGTATATGTACTTTAGATTAATGTTTCACAATTTTTGAACGAAATTTAATTTCATATTATTTTCCCATTTTATCGTGCACTTTATTTTAGCTCGTTCGATCGGTAATACATATAACGGTTTTCTGCAAAATTCATTCAATCTCGCATATCGCGACGCTACTATAATTAGCGATCAATTGATAAAGACGCATTCATCGAGATTACAGGCTGGATAGATCAATCCACATTGTGGTTATCGAATTTTATTTTGTGGAAAGTCGCGCAAGTATAGATCAACAGCTGTTAAAAGCACTATAGCTATAAAATAACACAAAATAATGACGACGCACATTTAACCGCACGTAAAAGCTTTAGTCCGGAGAGAAAAAAATCACTCGTATGACGTTCAATATGAGTGTTTCACACCAAATCATACGCCGCATTCGTTTGCGTGCCCGTGGCACGACTTTAAATTCTAATTAATCATTTCGAGCGACACTCATTATAAGAGCAATCGGCATTGTGACCGATGGCAAAAAGCTCTCTTGAGAATGAAATGTTTTTAAAAAAAACATTTGTATACATACTGCTACTAGCAGATAGTTTTTTTTTACGTATGACTTATTAAAAATATCTTATACATTTGCGTTGTAAATTGCTATTGATTGCATTATGATCACGTCGCTACCTTGGTACCATTTGCTTTTTTTATTTCTCGAGTATTCTCGGGAAGACCCAACATGAAATATGAAAAAGTTATCTCGATATTTCATATTAGCAGTTTGCAATGCTAACCCGAGGTAACGTACACGAATACGCGCAAAAGAAAATTATTCCGGGTTAACTCGGGCGTTACTGAGTTTCCAGTACACTTAAATGATGTGAAAAAATTTTTCTTTTCATGTCGTTTTTTTACTTAAAAGTGACACGACTCAAAAAAATTAAGTTTTTCAGATAAGCAGAAAAGCTGTTTTTAACTTAACTAAAAATTATTAACTAGTCAAATAATATCTCGACAGAAGAATGTACTTTTAGAAACATGATTAAATGTCATTTTTGTCATTTTCATTTCACCTTTAAAAAAACCATCCTTTTTGGGTCTGGAATTTGATATTCTATAAAATTATATTAAATTTGGAATGATACATTAAAAGTGATATAATTTAAAATATCACTAACAGTTTATATTTATCTTGATCAGCTAAAATATAACTAAATTCAAAATAAAACAATTTCTTCTTTAAATTTAAATCACCAAAATTGTTTTAACTCTAAATGTTCTCTGTAGAAGACTCTTTTTTTATTTACAATTCAAAATATGTCATTCTTGTAGAAGGTACTACGATCTCTTTGAAAACTTTATGAACGACACAAATGCTATTTGGTGGATAGACTGTGAAGTTTACTTTTGTTTAGTAAATTAGTTTACCTTTAATAGAATAATCTTTATATTATATCTAACTCATTTACGGTATAATAATTTAAAAATCAAATTTTTCGTATCACTTTTGAGAACAAAATAACAATGTTTTGTGTGTCGCAATATGGAATGAATGGCGAATGTTTGGTGCAACGTAACACAAAGAAGCCACTCTTCAATCGCTCTTTAATTCTCTGACGCAGTTATTCTAATGGGCATGTGTAGCTATTTTCTCGTCATTTATATCGTCTTATTTCGAGCGAACGAGCGGAAAACTCACACTCGCGGAAAAATACAAGAAATTGTGTATGCGGAGCGCGCAAAAAGGTACGCTGACATCTGCCAGATCCAGCCTAGGGCGACCCATTTATTTCCACAGGATTACCCGAATTTCAGATTCTCTTATCGCTCTAGCAACGTGCGCTTATGCGTTTCCAAGTCGGCTAATTAGCGCTCGGTGCTTGTTCTGCCGCGAGCGTCGACGCGCCGCGTCGAGCCGAGTCTAGCCGCGTTTCTTGTGAAAATTTCACCGGCTGCTTACCTTGTAATTTCCCACTTTCCTGATGGTACAGGAGAGGGCGACCTCTTTGCCAATAGCGGCGGTCACGTTGCCGATCGGCTCGGAGAAGCTTGGCACATCTGCGAACCAAAAGAAGCTTCGCGTTATGCTCTTAATTAACTTCAGGCATTTTAAGATCCTTGTACAAGCAATGCGCGATACCTTATAAAATTTTAACTGATAGACTTTTTAAATGAAGTTCTAAAAGAGAGAAATAAAAATAAGAGTGAGTGAGTGAGTGAGTGAGTGAGTGAGTGAGTGTGAGAGTGAGTGAGTGAGTGAGTGAGAGAGTGAGAGAGAGAGGGAGAGAGAGAGAGAGAGAATATCGTTGTCATTTATATTTAGAGACAGGTTGTCTGAATAGAAGTTTAATTGCATGAAACTTTCTGAAACTCGCGATTGTAGTTTTAACAATGTTTTTTCACAGATATACAGAGAACTTTTCAACAAAATGTTCGAAGACAAACGTCGTATTTACCGACTTTTTAATATTCGTTATCGGATATCTTGATAATATAAAATATTAAAATTATGATTAAATTATGGAATCGAGCGAATAACAAGCATTAAAAGTGCATGAATTATCACGAATTATGCTATTGTTCGTTCACTGAATGTTCAATTACATTCATCACAGATAGATAAAATAATGAATTAACTACAATAGATTAATCGTCTTTATTGATTAATTAATATTACTTCGAGAACAATTCTCTTTAGAGTGCAATTATTATATAATTCAGGTGGTTACATCGCGCATAAAAATAATTTATAACCGGGAAACGATGGAAGATTTAAAATAACGATTAAGGACAACTCTTTCAAATAGGGTAATTAAAATCACATAAAGCATTTAACCCTAGCTATACATATTGGGGTCCCCAGTCAGAAACCCCAGTGCAATTTACTAAATCGAGATTTTTCGTATTTAATGAACTTTCGTATTTAATGAACTTTTTTTTTTCTTTGAATCTATATATCTCAAAGCTCCTTAATTCTATCGACTTTTACACATAATGGACTTATACCTTAATCAATTCTCCATCGATTGAAAAAAAAATTAATTGAAATATGCCCATTGTTACGAAAGTTATGGTAACAAGTATGGATGGGGTCCCAGGGATCCGAGTGTGTATATCAAGGGTAAAAAAAGTGTGTAGCTGGAATTAATATTGCTCAATATTGATTATAATATTAGGAGGTGCAGAAAATTCTAAAAGAAGATAATTCTAAACAACCTTGAATTATTTCTAAATAATAAAATGTATATATTGTATGAAATATCTAGGTAATTCGAGGGTTTCTCGTTACGAATTGTAAATAGTAATTATCGTGCTTACTGTGCACACGAAATTTGAACGCGTTTTGCAATTACATCTCTGCGCACGATGATTAAAATAAATATTTCTCGATGCATTATTGGCGCTTCAGTGATACGTCGTGTGCAAACGATACATCATGTCACAGTGAGATTATGAAACTAATATCGTTCGTTCAACTTTCCATTTCCGTAACGTAAAATAATGTTATAAATATTCGGCCCCGTCGATAAATCGTTATTTTATATGAGGCTTAGCGCGCGCGTTGCTTTGACAAATATTTTATGCCACTCGAGGCAGACACAGTGCTTTCGATGTTCATGATTCGTTGCCTCTCGTTAAAACGCACGTGACGGTGCAATAGCGGCGATTAACGGCTTGTTGATGCATATATTATAATACCATATCTCGAACGGTGAAGTATAGTTTTAATTTCCTGTCAAGCCCCAAATTGTAGCTCGTTGACGTATATGGTGATGCACCGAGTTGTTTCTATGCATAAGAATCGTGGGACGTGTTACAAGACCGATATAAATGAGGAATATAATAATGAATATTCATCAAAATCCCAACTATGGAGAGGCGTTGATGAATTCTTCATCACAATAGCGTTAATCTAAAATATATTGTGAATACCTCGTTCGTGGCTTTCGTGAACATACCACAGCTTACAATAAGCTCAAATACGCACTTGCGCGCTTGTATGTATTCAATGCAAATTCCTCATACAAAATGGTTTGAATAACTATACCTCAAAACGCACATTGTACTGAAATCTGAACATTAAGATAACGGGAGAAATTACATATTATTTATCAAGTACATTAGAATTACTACGTCGGAAGTTTGCATGCGCATTACGTTATAAAAGCATCCTTTAATTTCCAATTATGTCATTAAGATCTGAGAACTTCAACTGTCACATCTGGCGGGTAATTATATAATTGTTAGTGAACTTGTCCCCTTTTCACTTTTGGCTGCTTGAATTCTCACGCGATCTCGTGGAATCTCATTGCTTAACGTTGAAAGGTCTTACGTGATCTCAGCAAATTCACGTGAAGATTTTCGCTTATCATCTTTCTACTTCTCGAGGAAAATTACGTAATTGATCTCCTGAGTTGTCCAATTTTCCTACAATAAAAGAGTCTAGATTCATTTTTCTTGATTCATTTGCTTGCTCTCGAGAACAATGTACCGGCTTTATTTTACGAAAGCGATTCTTTCCATCAGACCGGCATCATAAAATCGAGTCGCGAATATGGCGTCTGAGAAAAAGAAAAAGCACAGATCGAAGTGGAAAGTATTACGAAACGCTACACACTTTTATAAGCAAGAAACCGTCTTTCAGCCCTGCAAGCTGTGGTGGAAATGCAGGGCGAAAAAAAAAGATGAGAAGTTTAAGCGAACAACATTCAGCTGTATCGTAGGCACGGCACGTGGCGCAATATTGAAACATGCGCGAAGTCAAAGTTTGCAAATACCACCTCATCGCCGAGTCATGCTCCTGGGTGGTGCATCGAGCGTGCAGCATCCGCCGGTCTTTTCCATCGCGGTTGTATCGAACGGAAGAAGTCGCGACTGCAAACTATATCGGCCAATCTGGAAACGTGCGATACTCCGAAATATGTCGAAACTATACTTGGACCTTTTCGGCTGGTTTCGTACGTGGTGCGGTGAACGAATGGTAGTGGACGAAAGACTGCAAGTTGGACGTGGTTGAAAATGTGTTGATGTGTTGGTTTGCGGGGGTCCGTTGATCTCGAGAGGAAAAGCAGAGCGTCGGTAGTATTATGATAAGATATTCACTGACAGAAACAGGAGAGGAAAGGAATTTTCAGCTTCCACCGCTGCCGTCCCCGCGTATCTAGAATGTAATATAAGGAGACGTGGGGGAAAATAGCGACGTTACTCGCTTCGAGTGGCCTCGTCTGTGGGGATGAGACGGGAAGATAGGGAGAGAGAAAGAGAGAAAGGGAGAGAACTAGAGAGATTTTGCTTCTCTCGAGAGAGGGATGATACTGCGAGCGATAGGCGTGTGTATGGGTGTAACGTGATGGGCTGCGCATGCACACTCGTACCGGTCTTATTTTATGGCGAAATTATTCTGGGAGAAAAATAATTCAATCTCTGCGAGCGGTGCAAGTTACGGTACTTGGCATCCGCGCTCCCGTATTCGAGTGCCGTTCGTTTCTGTGCAGGACTCAGAATGCCGATCGAAGAGCGTATCGGCTTTCACTTTCAGTTCTTGACATCGGTATCCCGCAGCGATAATCACGTGAAAAATAAAAATCCCTAGTCGAGAAAATTGATCTTCCTGTCGTTGTTTTGCTGCGTTTCAGTTTACAAGACGAGAACGGTAGACGAGCATGCGACAAATTATTTACGTGGTCACTTTCAGTTTTTTGCGCGTCTTTGCGAGAAGAGGGACATGTGTGTTTTTAAAGTGGAATTTAAATATCGCTTGGGATGATAGCGCAATCAAAATACGAATTTTTACACTAAAAGAAAAGATTAGCTGCTACAGCAAATTAAATGGTAAAATATGACATAGCATTTTTAATTGGCTGCAGCAGCTAATTTTTGGTTGCAGCAGCTAATTTTTGGTTGCGTTAGTCTATCTGCAATGTTAATATATTCTCGATAAGTTAATGCAACCAAAAATTGGCTGCTGCAACCAATTAAAAATGCTATGCCATATTTAGCCAATTTTTTCTTTCATGTAGACTCGAAGGAAGGAACTTTTTTAAATATTCAACTTTACACAGTAATAAAGGATTACTGTAAAAATATATTAACCTATCGGTGTATTACATTTTGTAGAAAAATGTTTACGTTCGATCCGTCAATTTAAGGTATAGATTTTTGTAGACGTGAGCGAAGGGAATAACTGTAATGGGCGAATATCCCCGAAACTATTTGAAATATCAAAAAATCGTTTTGAATTTTCAAGCAAAAGTTTGATGGAACATGGGCGCGTATGCGATGGAAACATGGAAAACCTATATAGCAATCGAATAACTAAACGTCAAAAATCAGGTGTCAGATTTCGTAGTTGCACTCGAACAACTTGAACTGTTATCGTTTCCATTAAAAACTTGCATTCGTTAAAATAACTTAAAAATTCGTCAAATCTAAAGTACGTTAATTTTACAATAACTAAAATTTTTAAAAAGATGCTAAATTAAATATAATTATAATTTCATATATATATATGTGTATATTTAGATACAGGGCAGTTTTTTGTAAATATTATTATATTTTATTTGTTTTATATTTTTGGTATATAATATTCCGCATGTAAATTTTTGAGAAATACAAATGTATAAATATTATATCGAAATTATGGACGGAGAATAATATGAGATAACGTAATTGTAATGCACATACTAAATGAAAATTATTTCTGCTTTATAAATTACAAAACAATTTTTATTTAATTTCACAATGTTTTATTTCTATATTGTGGGTTTTCATGCTCATTTCGTGATCATTAGCGCATCGATTTTACGCGAAACAATATTTAAAATATTTTTATAATTTTACATTTTGCTTTTTGCGATCATAATCATTTGTAAGATGTCGCGAGTACGGTAGCGAATAAAAGTTGCGACGGTCAGTAGTAAAGGTAAAGCATGAGACCGACGCGACGTCGTTATGTTCTTCCGTGTCGTAAAATACGTAACTACGTTAGCGGCTTTAAGCAATCGAGATTCGAACGCGATAGAATGGTTGCACCGTTTCTGTAGCAGTTTCTCTGCAGG